TAAGACAGCGACATGTTACCAGAGTTAAAAATTGTATATAAGAGATGGATGCTGCTGGCTCACGCCTGTCATCCTAGCTACTCAGGAGGCTGAGATCTGAGAATCGCGGTTCAAAGCCAGCTCAGGCAGGAAAAGTCCATGAGACTCTTTTTTTGTTGTTGTTGTTGGTTGTGGGACTTGAACTCTGAGCCTGGGTGCTGTCCCTCAGCCATTCAGCTCAAGGCGAGCGCTCTACCACTTGAGCCACAGTGCCACTTCTGGTTTCCTAGTGGTTTATTGGAGATCAGAGTCTCACGGAGTTTCCTGCCCAGGCTGGCTTTGAACCAGGACCCTCAGATCTCAGCCTCCTGAGTAACTAGGATAATAGGCAGGAGTCACCAGCACCAGGCTTGTGAGACTCATCTCCAATGAACCACCAAACCAGAAGTGGAGCTATGGCTCAAAGTTAGCCTTGAGCAAAAACAAACAAACCAAAAAAAAAAAAAACCCATAATTCAGGGACAGTGCCCAGGCCCTGAATTCAAGCTCCATGGCTAACCAAGAAAAAAAAAATATATATATATATATAATAGTAATAATAATAACAATAATAAAATTGCATAGAAAGGTAACCAAGGTCACAGAACTGTCATTTCTACCCCTCTGTCCTTCATTGCTTGGTTTGAGATGGCAGTATGCATACCAAGATACACATAATGAGAATCTCAGAAAGCAAGAAGGGGTGGGGGAGAAGGGAGGGGAAGGGAGGCAATATGTCTTTAAAAAAAAAAAAAAGCCTTGGTTGAATTCAATTTAAAACGCCTTGATCTGCCATCTGGACATGTCAGTCAAACTGCTGGAAGCTGAAGAGAGATTCTTCCACACAGAGAAGCAACCTTTTGTGTCTAACGAGAGTCCCAGTAAGATTGACAACTGACTTACAATCAGAAAGCATGGAAGCCAATAGGCGATGAGAGTACAGGTCGATGTGATGAAGGAGAAAACAACAAGAAGAACCAAAACAAAAAACCCTGTAAGCCACACTGGGCATGAAAGAGTAAATTTGTAATCCTAGCAAAGTTAAGAGAGGAAGATCATGTGTTTGAGGCCACCGATACACAGCAAGACCCTGCCTCAAAAACGATAGCTTAATTAATTTAAATTAAACAAAGTGGAAGGAGAAATAAATGTCCTAGGTAACTCAAGACTGAGAAAGCTGGGTACCAGTGGCTCACACCTGGAATCCTAGCTACTCAGGAGGCTGAGATCTGAGTATCACAGTTCGAAGCCAGCCCGGAGAAGGAAAATCTGTGAGATTCTCATCTCCAGTTAACTAACAAAAAGCCAGAAGAGGAGTTGTGGTTCAAGTAGTAGAGCACTAGCCTTGAGCACAAACACTCCAGGCACAGAGTTTAAGCCCTGGGACAAGAGTGTGTGTGCGCACACACACTCATACACATACACACATGCGTGTGTGCCCACACACACACACAGCAATTATTTTAAATGCTACATAACAGAAACCAGACACAAAGAACTATCTATTCTATGATTCTATTTATACCAAAATGTCCAGAGGAAGATAACTAAATATCTTGCCAAGGTGTCTTGTCAGTTGTGGGTCTTGAACTCAGGGCCTGGGCGCTGTCCCTCAGCTCTGGAGCTCAAGATGAGCGCGCTACCACTTGATCCACAGTACCACTTCCAGTTTTCGGGTGGTTCCTTGGAGATAGCTCCAAGTAGTTGATTATAGTTTCTCAAGATCCTTCTTTTCACCCATTTAGATACAGATCATTCTGAGACGGAGGACTCCCACAACCCACCCGAGGCTAGAATGGCACAAGAGAAATGGAACAGAGGTAAGTGATGTAGTATTCACCAGGTACAGTAAGATCTCCAGGTAGGAGGTGAGCAGGGTTAGGAATATTATAGGTAGGTAAAAAGACTTGTGGATGCTAGAGGAGGTGAGGGGGGGTGGGGGGAAAGGTTGTTGGAAGAAAACAGCTGTGAAAACCATGGAAGTAACTGAACACATAGGCAAGGATATCAAGTTTGGTGGTTCAGAAACACACACACACACACACACACACACACACACACACACACACACACACACACACACAGCTAAGGAGAGCTGGGCACCGGTGACTCACACCTGTCATCCTAGCTATTCAGCAGGCCTCATGAGATCTGACGATCGTGGTTCAAAGCCAGCTTGGGCAGGAAACTTTGTGAGACTCTTACCTCCAATGAAGCACCAGAAAAACCAGAAGTGGCGCTGTGGCTCAAGTGGTAGAGTGCTAGCCTTGAGCTGAAGAGCTGAGGGACAGCGCCCAGGCCCAGAGTTCAAGCTACAGGACCAGTGAAAGAAAGCAACAAAAGGAAGGGAAAGGAAGGGGAGGGGAGGGGAACAGAGGGGAGGGGAAGGGAAGAGAGGAAGGAAAAAAGAAAGAAAAAGAAGGGAAAAAGAAAGAAGGAAAAGGAAGGAAGGAAGGAAGGAACAGAGGGGAAGGGGAGAGAGGGGAGGAAGGAAAAAAGAAGGAAAAGGAAGGAAGGAGGGAAAAAAAGGAGAAGGAAGGAAGGAAGGAAGGAAGGAAGGAAGGAAGGAAGGAAGGAAGGAAGGAAGGAAGGAAAGACAGGCAGGCAAAGCAAGCATTGGTCCTCTCTTACCTTGCTTTCTCTCTGCACAAAGAAAGGAAGGAAGGAAGGAAGGAAGGAAAGAAGGAAGGAAGGGAGAATGAAAGAGAAAAGCAAAGCAAACAATGGGCCTCTCTTACTCTCTCTTGCTCTCTCTTGGTCCTTCTGCTATTGAATGAAATTGCAGGAAAGGTCTCTGGCCACATGCCTTATTTCTCATAGCTTTCAGAATGTGAGAAATACAATATCTGTTTCTTATCAGTTAGTCTTAAATGTGGATCAAGCTGGACAGTGATAACTGATCCTTTTTTTGTTGCTTTGGTTTTAGAGCTGGTATTTCGGGCCTTGTACTGTCACTTAGCTTTTTTTTCTCAAGGCTGATGCTCTACCACTTGAGTCACATTGCCACTTCTTGCTTTTTTTGCTAATTAATTGAAGTTATTAAGAGTCTCACACACTTCTCTGCCTGGGCTGGCTTTGAACCAGGATCCTTAGCTATCAGCTATCTTCAACAGTTGGCTTTGAACCCTGATCCTCAGATCTCAGCCTCCTGAGTGGCTAGGATTATAGGCGTGAGCCACCAGCACCTGGCTTCCATGGTCATATTTGAGTCCATCTACAGGATGGCATGACCATATGTCTCAAAATGTTGCTAATTTATCATTAGCAATTTGAAAAAGGGCTCTAGGGACATTTTTGGCTTTTGCCTAAATTCAAGTACCTCATCTTCATAGGCCTCTGGGAAAAGGAGAGAATGTGTCAGTTACTTGTGATTTTGTCATGCGATCATTTGAAGATTCCACCTCTCTAGCTCTGATCTCGTTAAGGCTACAGATGGAGTAGCTTGGGTATCAGCCGTGGGTTATGGATTAAGTGATCCAACTGTATGTTCTCTATACACAGCTGGTATACACACACACACACACACACACACACACACACACACACACACACACACACACAGAGCAATACCAGTTCTGGCCGCGCGCCATCTGAAATCTAGACTTCCAGTGAGAGGTTAAGTCTGAGAAAAGGAAAGCATCCCTTATTTAATTCCAAGACAGCTCTACTGGTAAAGTTGCAAATCACTTTACCTGTGTGACAGTTCTGAATTCTAATTTCACCTGTCACTGGAACTATACCCCCAGCACTTCTGTTGTTATTTTACTTTTGAGACTGGGTTTTGGTTCTATCACGTTCTATCTATGACCCCCCCCCCCTCCCTCCTCCAACCCTAAGCCCTTTTGGTGTTTGTGTATGCCACTTCTGGGGTTTGAACTCAGGGCTTGGGAATTCTCACTCAAGGAGACACTATACCATTTGAGCCATTCCTCCACTACCAGCTTTTTGAGGGTGGATTGGAGATAAGATTCTCCCCAACTTTTCTGCCTGGGTTGACTTTGAACCTTGATCCTTAGATCTCAGCTTCCTGAGTAGCTAGGATTGCAGGCGTGAGCCACCAGCACCCACCTTTATGTATTATTATTATTTGCCAGTCCTGGGGCTTGAACTCAGGGCCTGGACGCTGTCCCTGAGCTTCTTTGGCTCAAGGCTAGCACTCTACCACTTGAGCCACAGCTCCACTTCTGGCTTTTTTCTGTGTATGTGGTGCTGAGGAATGGAACCCAGGGCTTCATGTATGCTAGGCGAGCGCTCTGCCACTGAGCTACTTTCCCAGGCCCCTCTATTTTCATTTTTCTTTAAGTCATTTGTTGAGACAAGGTCTGTTACTAACGCCGCTGGCCTGGAAACACACCGATCCTCTTCCTATCCGCTCCTACAGAACTCCTCCTTTCTCACACACCCTGCTCTCCCTCGCCACAGGCTGAAATCAAACGCGTTGATTCCCCACATATCCTGGTGTCTCAGTGATCATTCAGAAAACTTTCTTTAAGAGATGATTTTCAAACAAACCTAAGCACCAGATGTGGCTCAAGTGCCAGAGCATCAGCCTTATGTGAGAGGAAACAAATCAGTAAATACAGGGACAGGTGCCCAGGCCCTGAGTTCAAGCCCCAGGCACGGCGCATGCGCACCCCCTTCCCCCTTGGCCTGACCATCAACCACAGCAGGATGGAGCATTCATAGTCATTTAATCTCCCACCTCACCCCCGCCTCACGACGCACGCGCAGTTGAGTGCTGGTCATACCCCGGCCCCCCCATGCCTCAGCTTCGGCCCCGCCCACTAAGTGACCACGCATGCGCAGTCGGGCCCTCATGCCCCCCCCCCTCGTCCATTCGGCTCCGCCTCCTAGGCGACTACGCATGCGCCTTTGAGGGAAGCCGCGAGCGGGGCGGGGCGGGGCCTCCGGAGGCTGACGTTTCCGGCGCCGCCTCCGTCCCACCCAATGCGTGTGGGTGGGGGCGGGGGGAGGAGGGAGCGACGACGCATGCGCGGATTGCGCGGCCTTAAGGGCGGCCGCGGCGGCCGGGCGGGCCCAGTCGGCCTGTCAGCCGGCTTCCGGACGGCTTCGCTCCGCGGCCATGGCGGCGGAGGAAGAGGAGGTGGATGCGGTGGACGCCGGGGAGGGGTGAGCTCTCGTCTCTCCGAGGGGGGCAGCCTGGGAAAGGGGGGTGTTCGGGGTGTGTGTGTGGGGGGGGGTTCTCGGCGTGTGTGCGCGTGCGCGCGCGCGGGGGCCGGGCCTGTCCCCCCCACTCCCCACTCCCCACTCCCCACTCCCCACTCCCACCTACCCCCCAGCTCGTGAACCGCGCAGCCTCCCCCCCCCCGACCCCGGGTCACACCCGACCCCGGGTCACACCCCCTGACCCCTGACCCCGGGTCACCCCCCACACACACCCCTGCACCCCCCGGGTCACACCCCCTGACCCCTGACCCCGGGTCACCCCCCACACACACCCCTGCACCCCCCGGGTCACACCCCCTGACCCCTGACCCCGGGTCACCCCCCACACACACACCCCTGCACCCCCCGGGTCACACCCCCTGACCTCTGACCCCGGGTCACCCCCCACACACTCTTGCACCCCCGGGTCACACCCCCTGACCCCCTGACCCCGGGTCACCCCCCACACACACCCCTGCACCCCCCCGGGTCACACCCCCTGACCCCCTGACCCCGAGTCACCCCCCCCACACACACACCCCTGCACCTGACGTCCAGGCACCGGAAGTGGCCGCCGCCGGCCGGGTCCTGAGCGCTGTCCAGCCCGGGGCCTACGGCGGCGCCTGGAGCCAGAGTGGGGGGGGGGTGAGAGGGGGAGGGGAGCGGTGGTGGGGTGGGGGGTGATCCCTGGGGGGGGGACAGCGAGGGGAGAGCTTCCTGGTGGGGAGGGGGAAGCATGGAGGGGGGAGGGGGAGCATGGAGGGGGGAGAGGGAGCAGGGAGGGGGGAGGGGGATCCCTTAGGGAAATGGGGGGCTCTTCCTGGGTGGGGGAGGCAGCGAGGGGAGAGCTTCCTGGGGGTCAGCAGGGGGAGGGACAGCCATTGGGGTTCTTCCTGAGGGGTGGGGGGAGGGTAATCCCTTGGGGGGGAGAGCTTCCCAGGGGAAGTGGATTGGGGGGAGGGTGCCCCCTTAAGGGAATGGGGGGGCTCTTCCTTGCGGGGGGGGGGGGGGGGGACAGCAAGGTAGGTGGGGGGCAGTCTGGAGCAGAAGAGGAAGGGGCTGAGGAAAGACCTGGGGCCTGGGGCTGGCCAGGGGACCAGAAAACTTTGTCCTCACAGGGGAGGAGTTGTGGGTGCTTCATCTGATTGAGTGGTGTTGGGGGGGGGGGCCTGGCATGGATGGCCAGATGCCCTGTCCTCCTCCCAAGCTACTGCTTCCTCAGGGAGCGGGGAGATCTGTGGCTCTAACAGGTGGCAGGGCAGGAAAGTCTAGGAGACTCCCTTGAGGAGGTGTTACTGAAATGGGAAGAGCGCTAAGCCTTGAGCAGAAAAACAAACACGCAGCCACAAAACAGGAAACAAGAAACCCTACCCAAGTTGGGACACCTACCCAAGCCCAGTGTTCAAACCCCAGGACTGGCATTTAAAAAAAGCTGGGGCTGGGAAGGTGGCTCCCTGGTAGAGTGCTCACCTAGCATGCATGAAGCCCCGGGTTTGATTCCTCAGTACCACATCCACAGAAAAAGCCAGAAGTGGTGCTGTGGTTCAGGTGGTAGAGTGCTAGCCTTCGAGCAAAAGAAGCTCAGTGAAGTGTCCAGGCCCTGAGTTCAAGTCCCAGGACTGGCAAAAAAAAAAAACAAAAAACTACTCAAAGTGATCACTCACCTTTCAAAAGTTGCTCTTCTTATTTGCCTGTTCTGCCCTGTTTTGCTGGTTCTTCCTGTTTGTACTTTGTGGGGTCAGCTGATTTGGCTTTACTGAAGAAGAGAGAGAGAGAGAGAGAGGGAGAGGGAGGATCTGCCTTTGGGGTCTGGGCAGAAGATACTTTCAGGAAACTTTGTGGACAGAGGGGGACAGATGTCTACTTGTAAAGCTTTCTGTAGACAGGGCTTTAAATGATTCTTTTCTATCTGGAACTGACTTCATGCACTTGTGAACCAAAGAACAGCAGTTCATTGGTAGAAAAATTCAATTTATCATGAAGGTTATTGCTTCACTTATTGCTCTTTATACTGGAAAGTACATTTCTATACGTCTTCCTTATGAGTACTTTGGCTAATTTCTTGTATTGAAAGCATCGGAAGGAAGAAGGAATTGGCATGGGAATATCAGAGCGAGATCAATTTCAAAGTACACTCTACCCATGAAATTTTCATAATGAAAACGCTTTGTGCTTGCTAATTAAAATACACTTTTTAAAAATTAGACGATTGAAATTTTATTAGCTTCAGAAATGTAGCTATGTGCTAAATTAGAGACTCACACCTATAATCCTAGTTACTGAGGAGGCCGAGCTCTGAGGACGAGGTTTGTAGCCAGCCTGGGCAGAAAAGCCCAGGAGAAAACTTTATCTTCAGTTAACTAGCAAAAAACCAGAGGTGGAGGTGTGGCTCAAGTGGGAGAGCATTACCTTTGAGCAAGGAAAAAAAAAAAAAACTAGGGAAGAGAGCCCAGGCCCTGAGTTCCAGACATAGTACTGGCATGCGCGCGCGCGCGCGCACACACACACACACACACACACACACACACACACACACACACACACAGATAAATATTTTGGCAATAGTTCTACTTCTGTTGAGTAAAACCTTTTGAGAGAAACAGGATCTCAGTGATAAAATAGGGAGTGTCTTGATCTCAGTGATAAAACGGGGTGTTTGTGGAGACTGGGGTGTTTGGAAAAATACCCGGAGGAGGAATATTAGGAACTAGGTTCCCGTGATCTTATGTTTGTGGGTCCACTGTTTGGGTGTTGGTGAATTTCCTTGTCATGCTTGTTAAGAGACACTTGACAATCATGATGTCAGAGGCTGCCCAAATGTCAGCTTGCGTTCCCAATGGGTTTGTCAGACATTTTTTGGCTCTGAGACTCTTCAACAGGCAGATTCTTTTAGTCTTGCTGATGTTTGGGGGCCTGAGATTTCAGAGCATACCCCCCAAAAGGAATTTAAGGGTGATGGCTGGACGCCATCGATAGCAGACTGTGGAAAATCATTTAGTTAGCTGACCAGCCATTATCTCCAGACTGAAGCAAGCTTCCTGGCACTCTTGGCAATACATGTGAAGCAGTGCCCATTCTCCACTCTGGTATGGCCTTGAGAAGTGTACCAAGTGCTGGGTGCTGGTGGCTCACGCCTGTCATCCTAGCTTCTCACTCAGGAGGCTGAGATCTGAGGATCGTGGTTCAAAGCCAACCTGGGTCGGAAAGTCCAGGAGACTCTTATCTCCAATGAACCACCAGAAAACCAGAAGTGGCGCTGTGGCTCAAGTGGTAGAGCACTCGCCTTGAGCTGAAGAGCTCAAGGGACAGTGTCCAGGCCCAGAGTTCAAGCCCCATGACCGACAGAAATAAACACAAAAGTGTCCTAAGCAAGCAACCAGGCTACGCTCCTGCTGAGGGCTTCCCAAAATGTGGCCATTTTAGACTTGATGTCCACCCTGCGTGGTAGATATGACGATCTCTTTTTGCTCTTGGGACTGCATCTAGCAAAGCAGAAGGGACTATATTGGAGCCCCAAGGTGTCTGATTTTAGTCTTAAGCCATCCCTCCCCCCAACCCCATTTTCCTGCTGCTTCTCACTCTGATTGGGACTGAGGGGATACTTGACTCTTACGTTGAATCCAGGTCCCTAGCCTTAAGATAGTTGAGGGTGTAGGTGATGCCAGGGTTTGGAAATGGTCTAAGTGTTCCTACGCACTTGGCTTCCCTGGTTGAAATTTAATCCCCATTGCGAAGTGTTAAAGAGGTGGAACTTCATCTGACCCATTGGACCTTTGGAAGAGCTTTGGAGATAAGCTCATTAGCATGGAGCCACAATGATTAAATCCTTATAGTTTTCTAAAGAAAGGGACAGACAGACAGACAGATCTGTCTATACTACATACTCTGGAGCACCGTATCGCACGTCATAGCATGGCCTATGCCAATCTGGGACTTCGCCAAGCCAAAAGTCCAATGCTAGCTGTGATCAAGATATCTCCTTTCCTTCTATCTTAGTCTCTCTTATTGGTAGCAGAAAACAGACTAATATAGACAGGGAGATGACGTCAACAAAGCAAAACACTTACCATAATAGTTACTGGGCAGTTTTTTGGAACGTAGGATTCTTTTCTTTGGTGGCTCTTCTGAGAGGATGGACATGGCGGGAGGGGGTGGAAGGTGGGCCAGAATGTTGAAGGATGTGACACTGATCAAGATGTATCACACTGGGCACCCATAGCTCATGCCTGTCATCCTAGCTACTCGGGAGGCTGAGATCTGAGGATCATGGTTCAAAACCAGTCCAGGCAGGAAAGTATGAGACTCATCTCCAATGAACCACCAGAAAACCAGAAGTGGAGCTGTGGCTCAAAGTGGTAGAGTGCTAGCCTTGAACATAAAAGCTCAGGGACAAGGCCCAGACCCCGAGTTCAAGCCCTACAACTGACCAAAAGAAAATAAAAAGATGCATCATAAACTGTTATATATGGTGCTGCCTTTGTACAACTACTGGAAGATAATCATAAAGAAAAAGAGAATTTGAGATGCACATGCTGGAGGGCTATTTGTGCTTTCTACATCCAGTGCTTTTCAGTGGTGATACCATTGAGAAAGCTCACTGTGACAGGAGTTAGGGGTAGGCTTGTATGGATTGCTACGAGTTTGTCCCAGAGAAGTATTAAGTACCAGTAGGGCTTAGAGAAATCACTTGTCTAGTCTGCAACTGCGCAATTCCTCTAAGCCCTACTGGAATACTGGAGTTGATTTGTCTTTGGCAAAAGTATAAGCACTCTCCTAAAATGTCTGTGGAGAGGACTGAACCTCTCCGTCTTCTGTCCTCCACTGATTGTAATTGTTGATCAGATGGCAGCGCTTGATTGCAGCTGTAACAGGTTCTCCTGCCAAACCCTCTGTGAAAACATAATTCTTTCCCCTTGGCTTCCTTCAGTCAGAACAATTACATTCTTTTGGGTACCCAGAATCAC